CCCCGGGGCCCGTCCCGCACTCCGCGGGGAGCGGGTGTGTTGCCGGGAGCCGGTGCTGAGTGTCCCAGCACCGGTCCTGCCCCGCCTTGGGTCGGTTTTGCGGCGGGGAGCCGGTCCTGGGTGCCTCCGGGGCCGGTTCTGGTGTGGGGAGCCGGTCCTGGGTGTCTCCAAGCAATCGGGCTGCACTGGGGGGTCCAGTCCTGCCCCCCCTGAGGCCAGCCCCACTGCCAGGATGCGGGATGCTCGGGGTGTCCTGGTTGGAGCTGCCCTTGGCCGCTTGGGATGGAGGAGTTGGCAGCTTCAGGACCCTCGGGTTTGGCTTTCAGAAAGTGGGTGCTGGCACTGCCTGGCTGTCCCGGGGGGGTCACATCCTGCCTGCCTGGCTTGGGGCAGGGGCCCCAGAGCCAGCACTGCCATGTCCCCTGCTCCCAGTGCTCTCCGTGTACCGTGGGTCGCTTTGCAGAGCATCACCTCGGGCCGAGGTTCCCCGCCGTGCCCGGGCTGGGGGCTGGCACCAGCAAAGGTGGGGAGAGTGCCCACAGCCGCTCCCTCCCAGCGGGAAGAGCAGGATCCCCTGCCCTTGATGGGGGGCCCGGGCCATAAATGCACCTTTACATCTCGCCTGTGAGGTCAGACGAGTCCACAAGGCAAACGTGCTGCGAGCGAGAGGGGCCGCATAATGGCTCCATTCAGCAGGGCCGCAGGGCGCTGGTGCCCCCTCCTCAAATTACAGCCGGAGTTTCCGAAGGAGGCATTTCAGGAGCCAAAGCGGCCGCAGCTCCGGGCCCCGTGGCTGTTCCTCAGCAGGAGGGGATGCGGGGAGCTGCCTCTCCCTGCCTGCCTGGGATCTGTGTGACAGAGGGGACGTGAGCAGTGTGCCCTCCCTGTTCCCAGCATCCTGCCCCACGTGCTGGGGATGGGGTGCCTGGGTGCTCCCCCTTGCAGAGGGACCCCCCATCCCCGCTGGATGGAGGCTGGGGAGGTGTGGGGCTCAGGCTCGGCCAGGGAGCAGGACAGGGTGCAGGGGCAGGTGTGGTGTCCGTCCTCCCATGGCAGACAGGGATCGAAGGCAGCCCAGGAGCCAGACAAGGCAGGGAGGGGACAGTCCCTAGGAAGCTGAGATGATGTTTGCATCATTTTCCACCCCTCAACCTTCTGCGCACCGCCCCCCCTGGCTTCACTGTGCTGCTCCCCTCGACGTGGAGGACACCCATGGTCACTATCCAAACCCACCTTGGTGGCCCCAAGAACCCGAGGCAGGTCCTGCCCCATGCCCAGAGCCGGGGGCAGCTGGGCTGGAGGTGGCTTGGGGAGGAGGTCACTGCGTCCCCTTGCCTGGGCTTGATGAAGCTGCTGGTTGGACTCTTGGCCGTGTGGCTCTGCCAAGCACATCCAGGCATCCCTCAGAGATGCAGGCTGAAGGTTTCGGAGGGCTCAAGAGGATGATTCTGCTTCAGCCCCTCCTGCAACTTCCTGAGACCCAGCTAGCAAGGAGCAATTCAAGGAACTATTTAGGGCAGGAGAAAGGGGCATATTTGGGGGCTATTTGGTGTTCAAGTTTTGTTTACTAAATTCAACTGCTCCTAAATTTGAAGCCTTTTTATACTCCACTACAAGTTGGTGTCACCCTCTCTGGAGCTGCCGTTCGGGATGCAGGCTGAGCGCCCCGCACACCTGGGTGTTACTTTGTCCCCGTCCTGCTCTCGCTAACACGTTGGTAATCTTTGGTTTTTAACTCATTTTTCTTTCCTCTCTCTGCCTGAAGGGTTTGCATTTACATATGCGATCCTACTCCTGCCAGCACCAGGGGATCTCTCTCTGCCTGCACCCCGAGGCTGGATTCGTGTCGGGGAGCATCTGATGGGGGGGGGGGATGCTGCTGGTTGGAACCTGGTGGTCCCAAGAGCCCCGTGTGCCACACGGGAGGGGCTCGGTAGCACCGAGTGATGAGTGACACGGAGAAAGAAGGAGCTTGGTGCCGGGGTGATGCTCGGGAGGAGGAGCGAGGTGGGATGACAGGGATGCTGTGGGTTTCGGGGACACTCTGCAGCTCTGCCTGATGGGCTGAGAGCAGGGGGGGTCTCACATGGCACCATGAGTGGCAGCCAAGCCCCCGTGTCTCTGTCCAGCTTTGGGGGGTGTGAGCCCGCTCCTCATTGTTTAGGGGGGGCTGCGTTGGTCAGGATGAGGAGCCGTCCCTCCTGCCTCAGGATCACTCTCCATAGCCGTAGGTAAAGGGACGTGCCGCAGGGAGAAATGTGGGATATTTATCCACAAGAAAAATATTTTGCCTCCATAGAAACCCCTGGAGCATCACACTGATGCTCAGTGTGAGTGGGATGTGCCCATGTGCCAGGGGCAATGCTGGCACCGAGCGCTCCTCCCTGCAGGTCATGGCTCCAGGTCTGCTCACATCCCCACTCCTTTTCCTCCACACCAGCAAAGCTCCTGAGCCCCAGCAACATCTCAGAGGCAGCGTTTCTTTCTTCTTTTTCTCAGCGTTTGTAGTGCTTTGAAGAAAAGAAAAAGAAATAGAAAATGTATTTGTGCTGTGCGTGTCTGCAGTGGCACCTCCATGTGCATCAGGAGCGAGCTTTTAAACAGATCTCCCGGTTATCCCAGTTCCAGTGGTCAAGGGGCACGTGGAGCAAGCCCTTTATGGAGGAGCCGAGACCTCAAGATGTGTTTTAGACCCGTGCCCCAGTGGTGCCCATCACCTCTGCAGCCAATGCCAACCCTACCTGTGGCTGGCTGTGCTCAGGGACCAGTCCACGTGCCGCACTGGGAGCACCAGTTAACCAGTGCAGCATCCCAGCTGCCTCTCCTTGCAACAGGAGCAAATTTATTTGCTGTCAAAGCCACTGATAAAGGAGGCAGGGGCTGAGCGGAGGGGTGCGGGACGCCATCGGCGGGCACGGGGAAAGAGAGATTAGCTATCAGTGGAGAGATAAGCAGGAATCCTGCATCCAGCCGGGCGGTGGGTGGGCTCGTCTCCCTGCTGGTGATGGTTGTGGTCAGGAGAAGGGTTTTTCCCTCCTGCCACCATGTTTCGGCAGACTCCCTGCCGTCAGCTTGGGGCTTTCAGCCCCAGTGATGCTTTTTGGTGCATCCCCCATCCTGCCTGTTTTGGTGGCCAGGCAAGTTTGAGGGTTTCCCAAGTGGAGGAGTTTCCCCTTGCAAACCTGTGATGGTTTCATCTAAAAAACACCAAACGCTGAATTTCTAAAGGGTGGAGAGTTAAAGGCCACCCCAGGTGAGACAGTAGGTACGTTGGCTGCGCCGTGGGAGGGTTGGGGTACCACGGACCTTTCCCCGCCTGCACCCGAGCGTCCCAGCAGAACCAGCAAGGCTTTTCGGGGAGGGCAGCCTGAAGCCTCTTTCGGGGAAGAACATTGCCTGCAGCCCACGCACTCCTCCGGGAGGTGGTTTGGTGGTTGACCCCCCCCCTTTGCCATCAACACCAGGCATCTCCTCTCATGCTTGGCTGGAGCAGAGCCCCTCACTCAAGCCCCGGGGTCCCTGCCTGGGGGGTACACGCCGGCTGCCATGGCAGCATCTTGCGACCGCTTCGACGGGCTGAATAGATGGAGCTATTTTGGGCTCCCGGCTGCAAGGCATTTTTTCCAGGCCTTGAATCATTTTTGTGGTTCTTTTCTGCCTCCTTTCCAATTTTTCACCGTCTGCTGCGAAAAGGGGGGACAAGATGCTCCTGGCTCAGCTGTGTGGGTGCTGCCCACCGAGGGGCCGGGGGTGGGACCTGCCTCCAGCCCCCCCGGGTACCCGCCTTTGGCCGGGGGGGCTGCTGGCAGCTTCCTCCCCGGCTCCGGGACAAGGCGGTCTGGCAGCCAGACGTGGTCCTGTGACTGTGCTGGGTTTTGAGCGAATACTTCCTTGCTGTCTCCTCCTCCTCTTCTGCATTTGTTACATATAAAGAAAAAAGAGGGGGGAAAAAAAAAAAGGCAAAAGCAAAACGCATTCCAGGCTGCAGCGCCGGACCAGCCCGGGTGAAGTTTTCCTTGACTGCAGCCTCTGCTCAGACCATTTGTCCATCGTCGCTGCTGTCAGCGGTGGGGACCGGGTGGTGTGGGTCACCCTGGGGACGAGCAGGGTTCCCCTGCCGGGGGGTCCCTGTGGTGTCACAACACAGGAAGCCTGTTCCCCACACTGAGGTTGCAGCATCGTGAGCCCCCAGCCATTTACTTCGGGGGGGGGGTCATTAAAGAAGTGCGGGTGAGGTGTCCCTGCTTAGTCCCCATGTGTCCCATCCCAGCAGGGAGTGGAGCATCTCTGGGGGGGGGGTTGAGACCCCATCCTGGTGTCGCTGGGGTCAAGCTTGTGCCAAAAACGCTTTGGCTGATGATCCTGTGCACAGTACTCCCTGGAGGTGGTGGCACTTCAGGACATCCAAGGGCTCAGGGACACATCCCAGCCACCTCTGGCTGGGCTCCTGCATGGGGAATGTCCCCTGGGAGCTGGTGGTGCTCCAGCCATCCCAGCAGGGTGGTGCCAGCCTTGCTTTGGGGTGCCGTCCCCAGGCCACCGAGCAGCCTGGTGGGGCTTAGGTTGTGGATCGAGGCACTACCGTCCCCTGCTCTCTGCAGCACCCTCCAGGGCCAGGAGGGCCAGCACCAAGGGGGGATGCACCGGGCATCTGGCTGCAGGCACCGAGTCGTCCTGTCCTGGGAGCAGGGTGCTTTGCCAGGCCTTCAGGGGCAGAGCAGTTGCTTTTGCCCTGGGACATTTAGAGCCTTCCCTTTTTTCCCGGCTTTTGGGGGTCTTTGGGATTTATTTTTTTAATAATAATGGTTGCAAAAACGACTTTTGTTGTTTCATCACTCCTGACTAATGGGAGGAACTGGTCCTGTCCTTGCTCCTGGCGTTGCCCTGGCTGGCTGGTGGGGCATCTCACACTGGTGCCCATGGGAGCCCCCCAGCAGATCTGTGCTCCCTGCGTGGTGGAGGAAGAGCCAACAGCTCTCCTCACCCCGCGGGGGTGCAACAGCTGCTGAGCAGAGGTGGAACCTCTCACCATCACAGCATCGGTGCTCCTGGTGGTTTTTTGGGAAGGACCAGGACTTTCTGAGGGTCATGACCATTTGTGGTGCCTTTTTTTTTCCTCTGCAGCTCCTCAGTGCTCGTGTGCTGCCCAGGATGGAGGCAACAAGGAAGCGAGTGTTTAATCGGTAAGCACTGGTATTTTGCTTTGTTGGACACTGTTCATCTGCCCGTCTTTTGCTGAGCCCTTCTGGCATCACCACTGCTGTCAGGGGCCACCCTGATGTGACCTGCAGTGAGGACCCTGGTCCCGGGGACCCCTCCCTGCAGCTGGACTCCCTGGGGATACTGGAGACTGCTTTGCCTCCCTGCCGTGCTGGGAGCCGTGTGGATGGAATGGGTGCTCAGCCCCAGTGATGGGGTGCTGGTCACAGAGCCCAGCCCTGGGGCACCCTCTGCTCCCACAGTGATGCCCTGGGGTGCCCCAGCTCCTCCACAGGGAGCATCACGTCTGCTCCCAGCCTGGGGGTTTCTCTCCATGCTGGCCAGCTTTGGGTCTAAGGATTTGGGGGAGCTGCTCTGGGACCCAAGGGACAGTGAGGTGTCCCCCAGGGTGAAGCGTTGGGGACAGGGAAGGTGCAGCTGCAGGAGTGGGACCCAGAGCGGTTCCACGGGATGCTGCAGCAGCGTGAGGAGCCAAGCTGGAGCTGCCGGTGGAGGAGAAGCTGCCAGGACCAGGCATGTGTCCACCATGGCTCCGTTGGGCAGAGGTTGTTGGGGCAGGCAGGCTGTCAGGCAGGGGCCACCATGCCTGCAGGCATGGCAGCCCCATCTGGGCCATGCCAGTTGTTACAGCTCTTACTGGAGTCCACAGCGAGGCAGAAGAGATGCTCAGCATGAAGCCCTGGGAGCTCTCATCCCCTGCACTGCCACCACAACGCAGGTGGCTGTTTTGGGGTTCCTGTGCTACCCCCCGCAGCCTCAGCTGGCCATGGGGCCCACCTTGCCTCAGGAGAGCCGGAGGGAGCTCTGTGGCAGTGAAGACCACGTAACCAACTAACCCACGGTGCATGAGCCCTCGTAACCGCTCGCTGCATGCATTGGGTGCCCTGCGTCGGGGAGCAGGACACAGTCCCTTCGGCGCAGGAAGGGAGAAGGACAGAGTGCCACGACAGCGGGGGGAGGACGGTCCCACCAGCGAGCTGTCCCCATCTCCTCACCGCCCCCACAACCTGCTCTAACCGTTAGACTCACTGCTCCTAACCTGTGTAATCTGTCTATTTTAGGGTTTTCTATAGTATCCATCACCGTAGGTCTAAGAACTCCCAGGTAAGGTGGATGGGATGGGTGGGCTCTTCTCCCTCTCCCAGTGGCTACGGAGGCTTGTCCAGGGCTGTGCGGGATCTGCCTGCGCCTGCCTGCCCCGCGGTGCTGCCCGACCCACCTCCTGCACCTGCCCCGATCCGGGCATCGGCCCCAGCACAAGGTCCCCTCGGCAGGAGAGGAGCTGGTGGCCTTTGGGGGCTGGTGGCCTGTGCAGGAGAGGCAGCGGTGGGGGTGGCAGTGACACCACTGCGGGCTGTAAGGATGCAGGGAGGGGGACAGGGGGACCGTGCTCGCGGCTGCTGCAACCCCCCCGCCATGTCCCCAGTCTCTGCTGGTGACACGGAGCTGAGCGGGGGACACTGCTGCTGGCTGGTGATGGGAACGGGCTGGGCTGGGTGGCTGGAGGCTGGTGGCAATGGTGCTGTTGAGCTGGGTGGCTGGAGGCTGGTGGCAGGGATGGAGCTGAGCTGGGTGGCAGGAGGCTGGTGGCATTTTCCTGCTGATGGTCCCATCCAGCCTGCCTGGCCACTTGCCAGGACAGTCCCAGTGTCACAGCTCAGCAACACCTGGAGTGCCACCGCACACCCCTTCCCCTGCTCTGTGGGGCTGGGGACATTTTGGGCAGCGGGGCCGAGTCCAGTGGCACCCGCGCTCATGCCTGCCATCTGTCCATCCATCCAGCCGTGTGCGAGGGGAACTTCACCTGCAAGGAGAACGAGGTGTGCGTCAGGCCCAGCGAGTGCCGCTGCCGCCACGGCTACTTCGGCGCCAACTGCGACACCAGTGAGTACCCACAGGCGCCCGCGTGTCCTCGGTGGGGTTCGTGGGGTGCCAGAGGGCAGCATCGGGGATGGGGCTGCAGATGGCTTTTGCCCTGCCCTTGCCTGTCCCCCTGACTCTGTCCTCAGGGCGTTGTGCCTTTGGAGGGTTCTCCTCTGAGATCCAGTGCACTGGGAGCATGGGGGGGGACGGTGGTCGAGAGGTCCTGTTGGGACTGGGGGTCTCCGTGGTGCCCAGCGGTGGGGTTGTCCCATGGGCAGTGCCAGGGCTGATGGCTTTGCCCACAGAGTGTCCCCGGCAGTTCTGGGGTCCCGACTGCAAGGAGATGTGCAGCTGCCACCCCAACGGGCAATGCGAGGACGTGACGGGCCAGTGCACCTGCAACCCCAACCGCTGGGGTCCCAAATGCGAGAACATCTGCCTCTGCAAGCACGGCAAGTGTGACCAGAAAACGGGCAAATGCACCTGTGAGCCCAACTGGTGGGGACCCCAGTGCTCCAGCTCCTGCTATTGCAGCCACAACTCCCAGTGCGACCAGCAGACGGGCAACTGCCTGTGCCAGCCCGGCTGGTGGGGCCGCGGCTGCAACAACCAGTGTTCCTGCAACAACTCGCCCTGCGAGCAGTTCACGGGGCGCTGCCAGTGCCGGGAGCGGACCTTCGGGCCCCGCTGCGACCGCTACTGCCAGTGCTACAAGGGCAAGTGCAACCAGGTGGATGGGACCTGCACGTGCGAGCCGGGCTACCGGGGCAAGTACTGCCGCGAGCCGTGCCCGGCGGGCTTCTATGGGCAAGGCTGCAGGAGGCGGTGAGTGGCCAGACCGTGGGCTCGGCGGGAGGTGGTGGCAGGAGCTTTCGGGGACGCAGCACCGGGTGACGGGTCCCTCTTGGCCGTGGCAGGTGCGGGCAGTGCAAGAGCCTGCAGCCGTGCACGGTGGCAGACGGGCGCTGCCTGACCTGCGAGGCCGGCTGGAATGGCACCAAGTGTGACCAGCCCTGCTCTCCTGGCTTCTACGGAGAGGGTTGTGAGAAGCTCTGCCCCCCCTGCAAGGATGGCCACACGTGCAACCACATCAATGGCAAGTGCTCCCACTGCAACCCGGGCTGGATCGGAGACCGGTGAGTGCAGTTGGGTGCGGAGTTGCCCAGCCTCCCTGCCCAGGGACCAGGGTGGGCTGAGGGGTTCAGCAGCCAGGAGGGAAGGGCAGGGATGGGCTGAGCCCGCTGGCATGGCCATGGGACCAGAGGGAGCCCACAAGACCCCTGCCCCGTGCCCCCAGGTAAGGGTGGGTGCTGGTGGTGGGGCTCAGCTCTCACGCTGGGATGCTTTCCCACACTCTTGTGTCCAGGATTGGGTCCGGGGCTTTGCACCCGAAGAGGGCTGGCACCACCCAGCCCCATCTCCCTGCCTGCAGTCAGGAGGGCCAGGGGGGTGCTGGAGCCCAGGAGCCACGGGTGCCCCAGCCACCTGCCCTCATTCCTCCCCAGGTGTGAAACCAAGTGCCGGAACGGGACATACGGGGAGAACTGCGCCTTTGTCTGCAGCGACTGCGTCAACGGCCAGTGCCACTTCGAGACTGGTCGGTGCCTCTGCCACCCTGGCTCTCACGGCACCTAGTAAGTGAGCCACGGTGGGCACCGGTGAAGCTCGGGCACCTCCTGCGCCCTTGGGTCCTATGCGGTTCCCAGTCTAGAGGTTTCCTGGGGCAGAAGTGCTCGCTGGCAATAATTCAGACGATTTTTGGAGCGGAAGGGAAAGGGCATGCTCATGGTGCCGTTAGCACGGTAATGTTGCGGGAGATAGATTCGCTTCGGGAAATGCCTATTTGGCAAAAACATATGCCGTTGACAAAACGGTGTTTTGTCGGTTGGTTTTTCTTTTTTTTCTTTAAGTCCAGGCTGGAAATTCTAGCCAAAAAGGGAGAGAAAACCACATCCCAGAATAGCAAAGAGCCTCATGGGCATGGCATCCACAGGGTGCTCCTGCTGCAAGCTGCCACTTTGGCCGGGGTCTTCCTCACCCCACCAGGAAGAACCTCCCCTTTCCCCCTGCCCAAGGAAGAGGCACAAGGGACCTCCATCCCCTGGTGTTTTGTTTTTGGTTTTTGTTTTTTTCCAGTGTGGGTCTGAAATACTGTTTAAAAAGGCGAGGAAGGGATTTCCCCCCAAGCCGGGGCAAGCCAGCTCCTCCAGCTGTTGCCAGGTGTTAGTTGGATTTTCTGGGGAATTAACCGCAAGGCTGGTGGTGGCAGCAAGGATTCAGGGCCAGCATCCTGCCCGTGCTGGCATTTCTCTCAGGGTTTAGAAGCATTTGGATTTAGGGGTTTGGGGGCTTCACTGGCCGGTTGTGCTGCGGGCAGAGCTGTGGAGGTGAGCAGGGAGGCAGCTGGGCTGGGCACCGCTGCCAGCTTGGGTACCCATCCCAGGCATCACCACCACCTTCCTTAGCAAAGCAGGAGGTGAGAAGGTCCTGGTGCTCACCGGGGCTGTGTGGCAATGATTTTACCATAGAATCATAGAATTGCCCAGGCCGGAAGGGACCTCCAAGGGTCATCTAGTCCGACCTCCCCGCAGTCAGCAGGGACACCCCCAACTAGACCAGGTTGTCCAGGGCCTTGTTGAGCCTCACCTTGAATATCTCCAGGGAAGGGGCCTCAACCACCTCCCTGGGCAACATTTTGGCACAGTGCTGGAGGGCAGCACATGAATTAAATTGTTCTGAGGCCCTGGCGCAGCACTGGGGATGCGGGGACCGGGGGTGCTCGGGATGCAGCACCCACAGGCTGAGCTCTGCCACATGGTGCACGCTGTGCAGGCTTGGGGACTTTCTTGATGCTCGGGTGGATCCCTGTGACTACATGCAAACTAGTGTTTTTGTCAGCAGCATATAATTTTGCTGAAAAGGGGATGATTTCTGTGAGGAAAGCAGAAGGGTTGTCCTTGTCAGGCAGGGATGTCCATCTTAGCTCTACGTTGGGAGGATGCTAAAGGAAAGGCTCCTAAAATATTTGTGGAGTGCACAGAGCAGTTTGTCTCCTCCACGTCATTCCCAGAGGTGTCAGGGGGAAAGAAATTGCCGTCCTTTGCTCTCCCAAAATCTCTGCCTGGGGGAGAAATGTGGGTCCTAGTGGTGGGGCAAGGGGTTTTGGGTTGCTCGGGAAATATCCCGGCTCCCGTCCTGCAGCATTTGCGGCTGGGAACAGCTGTAGGGGCTCAGCACGTGTCCCGGCATCACCCGGCGCCAGGTGGGCACGAGGCTGGGCTTTGCGAGTGGTTGGAGCATGAAATGGGCTGAGCCACCCCTGGGCACAGCGCCCAGCGCCGGGGGCAGCTGCATCCCTGGGCGAGCAGGTTTGGGCTGGGGCCCACTGGCTCCTTACGGCTGCAGCAGCTTCAGCCCGGGATGCTGCCCTTGCTGAGCAGCTGGCAGAGGGTTTGGTGCCAAGTGGCACCACCGGCATAACCCCAGTCCAGCTGGGTCCTGTGCCGCGGCGCCTGTCCCATCACCGGGACGGCAGCTCGGATCGGTGCCACTGACACCGAGAGCCCCGGGTGCTTTGGCATGTGTCCGTGTGTCCTTCACATGTTTTCTGTGCTCAAGCCTTTGATACTCACAGGTCAGTGCTCACTCCTGCATGTTCCCATCGCCTCCGTGACGCTGTCAGGGAGGTCATTTTACAGGTGGTGGGGATTTGACACTGTGCTTAGCTGAACCAGGAGGGTCCGCCCTGATGGAGCCAGTGCCTCGTGGCTGCTCAGTTGTTTTTCTTCTTCTGGGAGGCCAAAAAAAAATAGAAATAAAATCAATGTGGGCACTTTCCCAGCTCATGGCCGCTGTAGCTCTGTCCTGCTGGTGATGCCGCATTGTCTTTAGATGCAACTGTTGGGTTAATGACCTTTCATTATTGCTGCGCCTAATTGCAAAGCCCCAGGAGGGGAGCAGCAAAGAGCATCTGAGCTCCAGCCGAGCCAAATCCCCCGAGCGCTGGGTGGGCAACGGGCTCCTGCTCCCTCGGTTATGGGGGTCCCTGGGGCGCGGGGGGGCCGGTGTCAGAGCAGTCCGTAGAAGTGGTCCCTGCTTTTCCCCGGAGCAGGGGGGTCGGGAGGAGGTGACATCCAGGGTGGCGAGGGCTCTCACCTGGCCCCTTCCCTCCAGCTGTAACCTGACTTGCCCACCCGGCCGCTATGGAGCCAACTGCGCCGAAGCCTGCAGCTGCCACGACGGCGCCTGCGACCCGCTGACGGGTGCCTGCCACATGGGTGAGTGCTGGGGGCACGGGGCAGGGCACCGGGCTCTGCCGCGGGGTCGGCACCGGGCTGAGCCGCCGGTTGTGTCTTGCAGAGGCCAACCAGAGGATGGGGGTGATCGGGGCGGGAGCCCTCCTGGCGCTGCTGCTCATCCTCCTCCTCTCCCTGCTCTGCTGCTGCTGCGTCTGCCGCAAGAAGGACGAGGTCCGGGGGTGAGTGCTGGGACCGGGCGGGCTCTCGCCAGGTTCTGCCGTGAAGGCTGAGCAGGGGGAGTCCTGCAGGTTTGGGGACAGCTGGGGACGTGGGTGCCCAGTGCGGGGCTGGGACCGGTGGGGGGGATGCAGGGACCGCTGCAGGACAACGATGCTGCAGGGAAACGGAGGCAGAGCAGCGCTGCCCGCCTGGCACTGTGTCCCCTGCGGGTCCCCGGGGTCTGAGCAGGTCCCACTGTGTCCTCGCAGCACGTGGGCTGATGGAGGGACTTGGAGTGAGCTCTGTCTGGGGACCCCTTTTCCCCCCTCCTCACCTTCATTTCTGTTGTGAACCATCACTTCATGGAGACCCTCCAGGTCCCCTCCAGTCTCCGGGGGCTGGAGCTGCTCTGCAAAGGGAACTCTAAAATACAGCGAGGGCACCAAGTCACAGCCAGGACCCCAAAAACAAACCCCAGGGCAGCAGGGTCAGCCCTAGGGGAGGGTGGTGAGCCCCAGCACTGTCAGCCCTCCTGCACAGGGATGTTTAGGGAGGGTGAGGTCCGTTTCCACAGTGAGGTCAGGATGCTGGTAGTGTTTTGGCAGCACCAGGGGATATCCCACCATGGGGCCAGGGATGGGGACAGTCCAATTGCACGGGGAGGAAGGGATCCCTGCTCAGCAAGGGATGAGCAGGCTGTGGGAGCTCCTTCGGCTGCAGGGAAATTATCTGCTTGTGCCAACAGCCACTGCACGGGAATTTTCCGGAAGCCTCCCCATGCAGCCCTGCCAGCTCAACCCCAGCCCAGCACATCTGGCTTAGAGAGCCTGGGGTCTGTGTGTAATTATCCCACTGATAAAAGCACAAACACAGCCCTGCATGGTGAAGGATCACACAGGGAGGGGGGAAACGGCTCAAAATAGTTTCCTCTCTCCTGGGGTGCCTGGACCCCCACAATGTCCCCAAGCAGCTGGGTCACTCTCAGTGCTGGCCCAGCAGTGGTCCCTTGCTGGAGCATCCCGAGGGACCGCAGTGGTGGTGGGCACATCACAGGTTGCCTTGCATCAACACACAAAGCCACTCGCTCCTGCGGCTGCAGATAATTGCTTGAAACCTCGGCTTCAGGAGGTTTCAAAACCAGAGAGCAAATAAAGAAAAGCCACGTGTTTGGTTTTGGGTTGAGGTGATTTTTAATTTTTTTAAAGATTCAGGATCTTGGCCCAGTGCTGCGTGTGTTTTGGGGCTGGGCTGCGAAGGGCCATGGCCAGATCTGGCCTTGCCACCATCCCCAGCACTGCTCTGCATCCCAGCACGGAGCAAGTAGGTGCCCAGGGCTGGCAGTAGCCCTGGCAGGTCCCCAACCCCTGTGTCCTGGACACCAGCCTGCCCCTGTCTCTTTCCCGAAACTCCTTTGCATTTGCAGCATCCCTGAGCTCCCGACTCTCCCCATCGCCCCGTGAAGGCTTGTCCCCAGCGTGAGGTGGGACTGATGCCTCTCTCATGGAGCCATCACCTTCTCTTGCAGCTCCAGCCAGGACCCGGCAGCCGCCAAGAAGCCACCGAGACGCTTGTGCGGGCGGTTCAGTCGGATCAGCATGAAGCTCCCGCGCATCCCCCTGCGGCGCCAGAAGCTGCCCAAGGTCGTGGGTAAGGTGCTGGGGTTTGGGGAGGGGGCACAGAGCCCAACACCAGGGGTTTTACTGCTGGCAGGGCAGCACGGGTCACTCACAGCATCCTTTCTAGCCCCAAACCCAGGGCAGTGGGCGCAGCAGAGTGGTGACAGGGACACGTGGGTCCCCAGGGCCATCGCAATGCTTGGTGCGAGCTGCCTGGCGCGCAGGGACTCGGCCCTTTCTCAGTCTGCAGCTTCTGGATCTCAAATGCATTGTTTTGCTTTGTGAAGGGGGCACCTGGTGCCTGGAGCTCGGCTGAGCTGTTTTGTGAGGTTTTTAGGTAGAGGGACAGTTCCCCTCATGGCAGCAAAACACCTCGTTTGCCGTTTTGGTCCTAATCCTGCCTCAGCTTTGCATGGGGCCAGAGCATCCAAGCTGGGGCCAGAGCCTACCCTACTGCCACGTGGAGAGGAGGACGGAGGTGCAGATTTGGGGTGACCTCCTGGTGCTGCCCAGCCACAAACTGTGCTCGGAGCAGGGTGCTCGCAGCTGGCAAAGCCCCTGACCCAGGGCTTTCAGGGACGTCAGGGACCCCCTGCAGCTGGGGAACACCGTACCTCTGAGACCTCCCAGCGCAAGGAGCTGCTGAATAAATCAGGGGGCACAGGCAGCACTCCCCACCCTGCGCTGCCGTGGGGCTCAGCCTCATCTGCACTCCCCCGGGGCGGGTAACGCCGACGGGATGCTCCAAGCAGCCACATCCCAGCAGGCAGCAGCTCGGCATGAGGCCAGATCCCCTGTCCCGGGAGAGGACACAGAGGTGGCCCCTGTCCCAGCATGCCATGCCCAAGCTCCAGCATCAAGGAAGGGGGGATGACTCCTCGTGGTGTGGGGCACGGCAAAGCCCTGCCCCGGAGCAGGGAGTGCCGGGGCCGGAGAAACATTCCTGCTGCAAGGATAACAGAGGATAACAGAGGCTGTGTTTATGGAAGGGGCTGGGCAGGACTTGGGGAGGACAGAGGGTGCCTGTGTGCAGCCAGGGCAGGGGGGCTCCAAGGGGGCTGCCTGCGTCCTCCCTGCGCCAGCCCGGAGGCTGCTGGCACCCAACCAGCTGCGCTGTGCAAACAGGGCGGCAGCGGCCCCGGGACGCAGCGCTGGTGCCAGAGGGAATCTTGGGGTGGTCTTGGATCCTGGCAGGTCTGGGGCTGTTCCCGGAGCCTTTTCATGGGGCTGGGGGTTGTTATTTCACTGGGGGTAAAAAATGCTTTGGTCAGGGCTTGCCTTGTGTTCGTGGTGTTACCCCACACAGCACCACGGAGCCAGTGTGGGTTTCGGCAGCTCCTGGTCCCTCTGGTGCATGATCTGGGGGTGCCTCCCGCCCCTGCTGAATCTGGGGACCCCCCTGGTGAGGGAGATCTGATGGGGTGCCTGTGGCAGCTGCACGCCTGTGATGCCCAGTGACCACTGTGCCGCGTCAGGGCATGGCTCCACCTGGAAGCCATGGTGGCCAGTATGTGGTGGCAAAGGCCGCTTCTTCCTCGCGTTGGTCCTGCCCCAGCAGGAGGGACCAGGGGATGCTGAAATGACCCCATCCCAAGTGCCACATCAGCACTGGAGGTGCTCAGGACCCCGCGGAGACGTTATGGTGAAACTGGTGCCGACCAAGGCTGAGGACACCGAGTAGGTGGTCATTCTGGGTCTGCTCACATCCTTGCAGAGCCGTGGCTGCAGCTGGGCATTTGCTGGTGCCGGGTGGGATTTCCCCTCTGAGCTCAGACATGATCACGGTGCCACTATGCCATTAGTGAATACAAGCCCACGTGTGATACAACCTCCCCAGGTGGGGCAGCAGGTTTTGAAGCCCCACTAAGGCTCATCAGGTGCCTGGAGCCCTGTGTGCCCCTCTCAAAAGCTGCTCCTCAGCATCAACTTTGGATCCGCAGCATCTCCCTGAGGATCTCACCTGGGCTGGCAGCATCCTGGGATGACACCAGTGGCCACGGGGCTAGGGTTTGGGTATCCCTGTGTGCGTGCTTCTCAGGGGGTTTGCCTGCCCAGGACATCAGTGGTACCAGCATGGGTCTTGGTTGTGTGTCACCCTGTGCATGCCAGGGCTAACCAGAGCTCTGCACCATGGGGTGCCTGCTCCTGCACCCCACTGCCACGTCTCCTCCCTGAGCGGCAAAGCTCAACCAGCCCCAAGGGTGACACTGACCACGGGGAGCTTGGGAAGAGCAGGAGAGGGTGGCCAGGAGGGCTCCCGCTTCACCCCAGTCATAAGACTGATGGGCTGCTGTGCGAGCAGGGCTCGGGTGGGCACCCTGGTGCTGTGGCTCCAGCAGATTTCAGGGAGAAGCAGCATGAGAGGACCCGTGGTAAGCACCTGCATTTCTCCAAGTTCCATCAGCCCATGATATATCATCTGGGGGGTGCTAAATCCCAGGGGACCTCACAGGAGCCCCCCAGCCTGGCTCAGGGTGCACTGCACATCCTCTTTTCTCCTTCAGCCATATTCTGGGTCTCATCTGAGTCCCAGAGACGCCTCGTGGCTGTGAGTCCCAGCCACTCGTCACACCCCCTCTCAGGAAGCATCTCCCTTCATCCGCTTCCAGCCGGCTGCTTTTAATTTTCCCTTTTTGGTTTTTATTACAAGGAAAGCCATATTGAAACTGCCGCTTCCCCCTCTCCAGGCCCTTTGCTCTTTAAATACACTGCTTTTTTTCTTTTTTTTTTTTCCCTTTCTTCAAGAAGCCAAACTATGCAGGGCAAGCGTGCATCGCTGCCGTCATTTTAATGACCCTGCATCTCTGAAGCCAGATTCCCTAATAAACAATAAAAGTTCCAGTGGGCATCCCAATAACAGTTAGAGTTCTTTTATTGTAAAACAGATGTGATGCAAGAATCAAAGGATTGAAGGTGGAAATTGCAATGTGACTTCCATGGTTGGGATGCACAGGCAGAGGTTACAAATACATGGAAATATCAACGTAGAGCTGCTGCGCAGAGGGACCCTGCCTGGGCTCAGGGGCAGCTTTCCCCCATCCCAGGGGACAAAAGCCAGCAGGCAGGGGATGGGGACGAGTGTCTGGTGCTGCTTGGCTCTCTGGGAGGGCCAGTCCCTCCGCCCAGCTGGGTGCTGCCACTGTGCTGTGGGTACCACGAGGACGATGCTGAAGCTGCAGGCACTTCCTCAGCTTTCACGAGGAAGCCCCACAGGGTGGGTTGGGACAGGAGCTTAGCCAGCAAAAAGCCTGGAAAGGTGATCCGACAGAAAAAGAAATCCCTCCCAGCCCAGACAACTGTCACTGCTCAGCTTTTTAATTTTTTTTTTTTTTTTAACTGTTGAAACTGAAAATATTTTTAACAGCAGGATTTTCCTCTCTGGTTTTTATTTTCAGCTTCTCTGCTGCTGCCCATGTGGCGGGAGGGGGCAGTGACAGGGTGAGGGGGGATGCTCCTTCTTGGCTTTGGGATGGGAGAAACTGGCAAAGGGATTGAAAAATAGCAGAATTGGGGAAAAAACAGCACTGTGCATCCCCCTGCCATGGGTATCACTCCTTCTACCTCCTTTTACAGGAGCAGAAAGGAGAGAAAAATGCAAATGGTGATGCTGAAGTGGAAGTCTGTGCAATTAAAGCCAGCATTTTTTTCCGCAGGAAGGGGATGGTTGAAGTGCCAGGACTTTCTTTGCAGGGTATCCGTGCCAGGTTGTGCAGCTCATGTGTGACCGCTGGGATGCTCGCTGGGTCCTTGTGGGACCCAGGGGTTTGGGGAGCTGGAGACCTGCTGTGGAGAGGGGGTACAGATGGGCACCTCCTATCTAAGGCTTGCGTGAGCTTTGCTGTCTGCAGCCACTTGTCCCCAAGCATGGGGGATGCTGGTCACCACCATTGCTGGTTGATGGCACCTGGTGGAGGTGCACAGGCAGAGCTGTCCCCAAGCCCGGGATGCCACTGATATCCCCAAGACCCACTGGCAAGTTGGGCAGAGGGGAGTATCTCACTCTCCCAGCCAGCATGGGGGCTAGGAGGATCTAGCATGATGGATACTGACAGTGGTTCCTTGCCCTCCTAGTGGCCCACCATGACCTGGAGAACACCCTGAACTGCAGCTTCATTGAGCCACCCTCCATGGTGGAGCAGCCCTCCCCATCCTGGTCATCCCGCGGCTCCTTCTCCTCCTTTGACACCACAGATGAGGGGCCGGTGTACTGTGTCCCCCACGAAGGTGAGCAGGGGGACAGGGCGCTTCCCCAGGGGACTATGGGCCATTGCCAGGGGTCACTGCCTGCTCAGTGGAGAGATGTCACCCTCACGCAGTGAGGACCATGTTGCTCTGGCCTCTTGTGCCCTGGGAAGGGATGCAGGTGCTGATGTTGCCTCCCGTGGGGTTTCAGAGCTTCCTCCTCTGGGGTTTGCTGCTCTCAGATTGTTTTAAGAGCCCTCTTGTCTTGGGGTCCTTGTCTGGGAGGAGGGCACAAGGGGACTTTGGGGACACACCAAGATGGCGGGGGGAATCAAGTGGGATGCTGTCCTACCATACTGTGGGAGCATCTTGGTTCTTCTCCCTGGGCACATCCCCGCCTGACACCCCCGTGCTCTCCTCCACAGAGAGCGTGGGTGACAGCAGGGACAGGGGGACACCCGCCAGCCCTGGGGACAAGCTGGTGGCTTCAGCTGGTGGGGAGGAAGCAGGTGAATACACCTTCCTGAAAGAGACGGGCTCTGTCAGAGCCTTCCCGGCCGACAGCAGTGAAACGCCCCTGCTCAAGTCCTCAGACAGCGAGCGCTCCTCCTGCGGCTCGGGTTCGGCCGGTGCCGTGCTCTATGCCCGGGTCGCCCGTCTCTCCAAACAGTCCAAGGAGGAGGAGGATGCCGTCACAGAGCCCCGCAGCCCGGGGAAGCCACCATCCCCAGAGAGGACCAAGCCCCGTCCCCCAGACCCAGCCACGAAGCCCAAAGTCTCCTGGATCCACGGCAGGTACAACTCCAGCCAGTCCAACTCACTGCCGGCGCCCAGCCGGTCCCCAGAGCAAGCAGCCGCCCGGTCCAGCAGCCCCGAGCAAGGTCAAGGCTTGGCCAAGAGGAAGAGGAGCCCGAGCGAGACATCGGCCAGCGTGCAGGGCAGAGCAGAGGAGAAGGGAGGCACGCGGAGCAAGGAGAAAGCACAGAAGCAGCCAAAAGAGCCTGGTGTCCATGAGGGCAAAGCCAGCCTGGCCGGGGAGCCTCAGTCACCCTCCAAGCCCAAGCAGAGAAGCAAAGGTGGCTCAGAGCCGACGGAGAGCATCAACGGGGCAGTGCAGAACGCCTTCCGAAAGATGGGCGCCTTCCAGCCGGAGCGGCGGGTCGGGGACAACAAGGATGCTCCTCGCAGCCCCGGCACCAGCAAAGCCCGCTCCGAGCCCCTCCATCCCCACCTGGCCTCCGAGCTGGCCGCCCAGCTGAAGGAAAAGACTCAGAGCCTCAACAAGGGGGACGGGAGCACCCGGGTGAACGGGGTGGGTGCCCAGCGGGAGAAGCCCACCCCTCCGCAGAAAGCCAAGCGCTCGGCGGCCGCCGGCGGCCAGAAGGCCAGCAAGCCCTTGCTGCCCACCTCTCCCCACCTGCAAAAACTGATCCCTGGGGCGGCCGAGCCGGCAGCTGGGGAGCCCAAGCGGGTGGAGAAGCCAAGCGCCAGCAGTGGCCAGGACCAGGCTCTCCCCAGCGAGCAAGCGGCCAAGAAAACTCCCATTAAAAAGCCTCCCAGGAAGAAGAGTCGAGAAGCCAGCCTGGAGCCGCCCCGCGCAGCCACCGTGCCTGCTCAGGCGGTGCAGTGACCAGGAGCCGGGCACCGGCCCCACGCCGGCTGGCCACCCGCCGGGAGGACAGACGTTTGCTGGCATGGCCAGCGGACGTGGACTGGGTAGGGGGCACTGGAAGAGCCTCGAGCCTCCATTTCTCCCCTCCATCTCTCTCATCCCCTTTTTCTCCTTTACCCTCCTCATACCCCAGGACCTGGTCCTCCCCGTCCGTGCCCTGCTGCCGGCTCCCTGCCCGGGTCTGGCAGCTGCTCGCCCTCCCCACGCAGGGCAGGACCACAGGGAGCCGGCCCGGCCACCAACCAGGGGGGATCCCTGCGTGGCATATTCGCCCCCTCATCCCCCTTTTTTGTAGCAGTATTATCGATCGCATAAGCAGCGCTTGTTGTACTAGACGTACCCACGGTATATTCTGCAGTAACGGAGCCGCTCGCTTCCCGCGCCCCACTCCAGTCTGCCAGGAGAGGGAGGGTGCTGCTGCTTGGCGCCCAGGGCATCGCCAGGGACGTGCCCTGCATCCATCACCAGCAGCAAACCCCTGCCCCGGCACCCCGGGCTCCGGGCATGGCGCTCCATTGCCGGTCCCACCGCAGCTGTGCTGTGCCCGGTGTGGGGTCGAGCTGGTTTCGACCGATGCCTCCCTCCTATCCACCCTGGGGTTGCTTCTGGCCAGGAGCAAAGCACTATTTATGGCCAGAGCTGGACGCCTTCGGGCTCCAGCATCCCATCCAGCGGAGTTGGAGGGATTAGTTTGGTACGACAGAGCCTGGCACCTCTGCAGAGTGCTTTCCTAATAAAAATGTATTTCTTCCATAGCCAGGTGCCATGTCTCCATGCCCCACACTTCCCATGGGCAGGGGACCTGCTGAGCATCACCTGGTCCGGCTGGGGTGCTCAGCCCAATCGTGAGTGGGATGCAGTGGGAGTGGAGGACCTTGCAGCAGGTCAGGCAGGGGGTGGCAGGTAGGGAGGGTGGGGAGGCAGGTCCCTGCTGCGGCTGCTCCTACGTGCTCGCTTGGCAGCAGAGACCAGCCCTAGGGGCAAGATCCCCTCACCCCCCCGGTATCCAGCATCCTCCCCCAGCCTGGCAAGAGCCCCTGGGGTTGCAGACCAGTATTGTGGTCAGACCCTCTCCAGCATAGCCAGGATTGGACCCTGGGGCTCAAGAAAGCTCTGGCCACTGGGCAAAGGAGGTCCACCCCTGGCTGGGTGCTCAGGGTGCTGGGACACAAATGTGGGGAGACATGGGGGACTGGCAGTGGGATGCAGAGCTCTGGCCCCAGTTTTCTAACCCACCCCGCCGAAGGGTTATCAGAAGCGTTTGGGCTCTCCATGCAGCCTGGGGCAGGGTGCTGCCATGTGCCAAGGCTGCGACAAGCCCAGGGGCCAGCTGAGATGGGCTTTCTCCCACACGACTTCTGCTCAAGATTCCCAAGCAGTCGTGTCGACAGTTTGCCTACCCTGTGCCTGGAGGCTCCCATCGCCTCACCCGCACACTGCCTGCACGCTGTCCCATCTTTGTGTGCGTTTTGCAGTCTCTCTGCCTGCTCTGCCTCTGCTCTGCCTGCACTCTCCCCACACGCTGCCTGTGCTGTGTGGCTGCCCAGGTCTGCTCCGCAGTGGGCATAGGGACTCCAGGTCCTTTAGGGCTCTGGCTCTGTCCCTGCAAGGCTCCTTCAGCCTCAGCCAGAGCCTCTGGCAGCCCATGGGGCTGCAGCACCCACCACTCTGGAGGAGCCGGAACCGCTGCAGGGAGAAATGAAAACGGGGCTCACCAGACCACTGGTGCCTGCTGTTGGCCATCCTGAGCTCTGCCCTTGATGAGGAATGACGGACTGGGAGAACACCAGTCCAAAAGGCCAGCTGCAGGGCAGTCTCAGAGGCGATGGTGATGGTGATGGAGGCAGCTGGTGAACACCAGAATGGGATGAGACCACCTGGAGCCAGGACTGCAGCCAGCAAAGCACTCGGAGGGGCTGGGGCTCCCGCAGGTTCTCTGGCACCACTCAGCATCGCAGAGCCAGAGACAGCACAGTGTCTGTGACGCTGACTGGAGAAGCATCGTCTCATAGCAAAAGCTGAAGAATAAAGGGATGGGTCATCACGCAACTTGTCAGCATTGCTTACAAGACTTTTGGCCACCTTTCAGCGCACCTTCACTCTCCCTCCCCTTTCCATCAGGTTTTATTTGGGAAGATGGAAGACAACAGCTGAAACTACTCCTGGCACATCACAGAGCAGAGTAACAGGAGGTGATGAATCAGCTCAATGTTCATCGAAGTCAAAATAGACAAAATCAATAGAAAAATGGGTGCACTGAGTCTATGAGACCTGGGATGGCATTGAAGTCCCTCTCCCTCCACCATAGAGGCTGTTGGAGAAACAGAAGAGGCTTCCAGGATGCTCAGAAAGATCTGGGAGAAGGAAAGCAGTCGAATCCGGGCAATAAAATTACAAAAGTAAATGCAATTGAAGAAGAAAGAACTTCTCACAGACATCACTCAGTCTTGTGCAAACCATTTCACATCAGCACTAAAGAGCATGTGTGGGGAACCAGCCATGATACTCACGATTATGACCCAGCAAGGTGAATTTGGGAATAGCCCCAGCCTCCTCTCAGGCCGCTTTCTCACTCATGCAGGCAGCAAAGCTGAGGCTGGTGCTCCAGGGAGGTTGGACCCTGTAAGCTCGCCCCAGTCCACAGGCTGTCCTGGGAGAGCAGAGCTTCGCCCAGGCATGAGCCCGTCCACAGGCTCCAATCAGCGCCCCAGCAAGCCAGAGGAGAGCCTGCGAGTGAGCAGCCTACAGGTAAATGCAAAAATCCCACATCTCAGACACTGATGTGCATCCTGGGGGGTCCCTGGAAGCTGCAGCACAACCAGGCAGCAACACACCAGTCAGGACCACTGTGGCATTGTCTGGCTGAGTCTTGAGAACCTCCAAGGGTGGAGATCCCCCAGGCTCCTGGTGACTGTCCCAGGGCTGCACCAAGTCTCCTGGGGAAGAATTTTCTTCTGGGGTTCAACTTGTATCTTCCTAACTGCAGTCAGTGCATGTTGTCCCCCATTGTATCATCTGGCGCCACCAAGAAGGATTCAACTCTGTCATCTTAGTTGTTGGCTGCTCTCAGATCCCTTCACCTCCTTGTGGCCAGGCTAAACCAGCCCAGCCCCTTCCACTTCTGCAGTATGTGCCAGCTTTGTGACCATGATGCTAGCCCCCCTCCAGGCCTCTCCAGTTTCTTCACATCCCTTTTGAACTGGGAGGCCTGTATCTGGACCCTACAGGGTGGAGAGGCAGCAGCTTCCTTCAGGTGGCTGCCCATTCCCTTCCCACTGTACCCTGCTATGGGCTTTGCCTTACTCTGGAGAAGAGCAACAACAAGCTGATATTCAACCTGAAGTCTACTGTAGCCTCCACATTCTTTGAAGCAGGGTCCTTCCAGCTCAGATGGGTCAGATGCTTCTCCAAGAATTGTCCTGTGGTGTCACAGGCCATGAAGGACATCACCACTGCAATGGTTGAGGCATTGCAACACCTCCGCATCGTGAAGGACTGATTTCTCTGCATAATGGGACAGTAAATCTCTTTTCCAAGTATCTTACGAAGGCCTGCAGGCTTTCCTCCCACAGCCACACTTTGGCTATCTCTAATTGACAGCACCCTGCGACAGACACCAGTGAGGGGACTTTGTTTAGGGGTCCACAAATCAGCAGAGGCTGAAAACCCTAAAACAATGTCCCCTGCAGCTGTGAGACCCGCCAGGGAGATTGTAGCTTGCTTTTTCTTAGCCACTTTCCACTGCTCTCCTGGACGTGCAGAAACCTTTGACCTCAAGGGAAAACCAGCTGAACCCAATCACAGAAACAAGTTGTGATGTGGAGCAAAACCAGGTCTTCTGCTCACTCAAGATGGGGCAGAAGCCACTTATCGCTTGAAGCCACCTTCAGGAGCCACCATCCCTGAAGCCACCTTCCCTGACAGACAGGTCAGGTTTTCAGTGACAATATGATGGCTTGACTAAGCACATTGCATGGCCTCCCATGGATGAGCAGAAGCAGTGGATGAATCTGGCAGAAGATGCTGAGATGGTGCAGGACCTGCCCAGCAGCCACCAGCCCTCCTCTCCACCAGGACCTCAGCCAGGGGAAGCAGAGGAGCATGATGACACTTGTGGCCCGTCCTCTCCTCCACCAACACTGTAAGGCTGGTCTTCTTCACATTTCATCCCAATTTCCCAAACTGAAGAAGGAGCTCTTGGGTTGGACAACGGCACATTTGTTTTGGCTTGGCTGGCAAGCAGTGATAAAAACGAGCTCATTGCCAACAATTCATTTTGTATTTCAGGCCCTACCAAAAATAAACCTGGAAGGGAAGCTTCAACGAGAATGAAACAAGCATGAGACAACGGGGTCCCAAAATTCTATAGGAAATTTCTCTCTCAGTGCTCACTGTGGGGGGGCACGGCGGTGCCAGGGGTACGTCATGCTGGAGGAGGGATTGTGAGGGACCTGGGGAGCTCCACCGGCTCCACCAGTGACACAGCACAAGCCAGGGTAAACAGATAGGGGTATAAATACATATTCAGCCTACACTGCGTGAAGTGGCTTCACGTGCATGCAGGCTCCACATGCGGGGAAATTCCTCCTTTACTGCCAAAGGTGGTTCCCTGGGACACTCGGCTCCAGGGATGGCCAGGCTGGCGGCACTGGAATGTCCCCAGGCCACGTCGGTGCCATCCTCATGCAGCCAGTGTCCAGCTGGCACAGGGCTTGCTTCAGCAGACTGGGACCCCAAAGAGGATCAGCCACTACACCACCACCAAGATCATTTCACATCGGCCATCAGTGACCTCATCAATGTCCCTGGAGGACTCCGGTGGCATTTGGGTCACAATACATAGCAGCCTTTTTGCAGGCATTGTCTCCTGCTTGCGTGTCCACCCTCTCCCACCAGGTCTGCTCCTGTGGCAGGGCTCAGCTGATGCCAGGCCCAGACAGGAAGGAGCCTGCAGTGGCACAAGCATGGTCACTGTGGTCCCCTGGGATGCCCAATCGTGGCATCAACCCCCAGTGGGGAGGAGAAAGCCATGGTCAGTGCTCTGGGGTCCCCGAGGTCCCCATAAGTGGAGGCTGTGGCTCCAGCACCCTGTGCCACCAGCCGTGGGGCAGCACAAACACCTGCAGCTTTCTCTTGGGAGGACAGAGCCTTCTGGGAGCTGTTTGCAGCCTTTCGCCCCATGGAGGGCTGCTGGGGGGACAATTTTGTTGCTGCAGCCTTTCACAGAATCAAAGAATCGCATGGGGTTGGAAGGGACCTCTGGAGATCCATCTAGTCCAACCCCCTGCCAAAGCAGGTCCACCCAGAGCAGATTGCACAGGAACATGTCCAGGCGTGAATGTCTCCAGAAAAGGAGACTCCACCACCTCCCTGGGCAGCCTCTGCCAGGGCTCTGCCACCCTCACAGTGAAGAAGTTCCTCCTCATGTTGAGGTGGGACTTCTTACATTCGAGTTTGTGCCCATTTCTTCTTGTCCTGTCACTGGGCACCACTGGAAAAAGACCAGCCCCATTCTCCTGACACCCTCCCTTTAAGTATTTATAGGCTTTGATCAGATCCCCCTCTCAGCCTTCTCTTCTCCAGACTAAAAAGACCCAAGTCCCTCCGCCTCTCCTCCTACGAGAGATGCTCCAGGCCCCTCATCATCTTTGTAGTCCTCTGCTGTCCCCTCTCCAGCAGTTCCCTGTCCTTCTGGAACTGGGGAGCCCAGAACTGGACCCAGTGATCCAGATGGGGCCTCCCCAGGGCAGAGCAGAGGGGCAGGATGACCTCCCTCCACCTACTGGTCACTCTTCCTGATGCCCCCCAGGATGCCCTTGGCCTTCTTGGCCACAAGGGCACATTTCTGGCTCATGGTCATCCTGTTGTCCACCAGGACTCCCAGGTCTTTCTCCTCAGAGCTGCTCTCCAGCAGGCCACCCCCAAGCTGTCCTGGTGCAGGGGGTTATTCCTCCCCAGGTGCAGCACCCTTTCCCTGTGCCTGAGAGGTGACTTGGGCAAGACATTGATATACACTCCAGGAGTATATATATATATATATTTTTATATACACACACACACAAATATATATATATAAATGTATTTACACTCTGATACATTCCAGGAGATTTTTTTTTTATTTGTATACTTTTTTTCATATATATATATATCTACACACACTCTCTCCTACGTACTCCTATACTCCTAGTGTATATAGTATATATGCTTATAAATACATAAGTATATAATTATAGATATATATACTTGTGTATTTTTATATATACACTGATATATCTTTATATTCCTATTTATTTTAATATACATGCATGCATATATATGTGTTTATATACACACTTATATACTTCCACATTTCCATAAGCTCCAGGAGCTGAAGGCGAGTATGGCCAGGCCGGGCTGAGCCTGCCCTCAGCCCGCAACATCCAAGTGCCGGCTCTGCCACCACCAGCCCCATGGCAGTGCCACCCAGACACCTCCCCACACCATCCCAGGTCTCTTTGTGCTGTGGAATCCCACAGGTGCCATGCTGGGCATCTCCCTGAGGTCCGGGGACCCATGGGGGTTGGGATCCCCCAGCATGGACACGCTGGAGGAGCAGGGCAGCGAGGACCTCACCTCCCTGCAGCATCCCGAGACCAGCAGCAGCTCCTGGTTCCATGAGCAGGACCTGGCATCTCCCTAAAACCATTTTGTCCCCACTAATGGGCACCTGGGACCTGGGCAAAAGTCCATGGTCATGGTCCTCTGCTGCCTCCTCTGCTCAGCACATCTCCTGGGCCAAGCCCAAGGGTTGGCTTCTCACCGGAGATGTGCCCCTTGGCTCCGCAGCCCCCTGACCCTCCAGCCCGAAGGATGCAGTGCATGTGAATGGGCCGTTCGGGGGGACAGAACCCCCCCGAGCAGTCCGGGCTGGCTCAGGGGGGGATCTGCATTAGAAGCCCCCCTTCAGCAGGCATTGGGCATGCATGCTGCACCTCTCTGGGCATCCCACCAAGCAGATCCATTTTTGCTCCATTTTAAGACTCTCCATCACAGAGTGTAGCGGAAGCATTTTCACGTGATTCAGGGCACCAGTTAATCCCTGCACAGAGCAAAGGGACAAGGCTCAGCAGCTGCAGCACTTCGGGCTGTAAACACGTTTCTAGCACACGAAGCCATCTCCCAGCGGATCCAAGCGCCTGTGCCTTCATTCCAGCCTCTGGGCACTCTGTCCGGCATCATTTTGGAAAAAAAAAATCCCTATTTTTGCATTATGGAAAGCACAAGTGTGCTTGAATCCAAGCGCTTTGAGCAGCAGAGGAAGAACAATTCAGCAGAGGAAAGGCAGAGGCATCCTCACCACCGCTACCGGATTTGTCCCCGCGCCTGCGCTGGCCCGGCCACACGCCTGGCCGTGTTTAGTCTGTGCGGGAGCACAAATCACGGTGCGATGTCATCGCTCTGCCAGGGTCTGGATTTCATTAGGAGCCACATGATGGGGCTGGGCTGCTGCTGGGGGCTGGCCGTGCTCCCCCCGCTGAGCTGGGCAGGACATGGGGGTGATGGGACAGGGACAGCTGCCTTTGCTGCAGGGGAGGAGCAGCATCCTCCTTAGGGGATGGGGGTTTGGCCCCCTGGGATGTTTGGACGCCCTGAAAATATCCTTCAGGGAAGGGAGTGTAGCCTGACTCTGTCCCCTGCTAGTGTGGGGGCTGGTGGGGCACAGCAAGATGGAGCCCCCCCAGGGCGTCCTTACCCCCGCAAGTTTGGGTCACTGCCCCTTCCCCAAAAATCAGGCTGCTGAAACAGAGGGGCACTGCTGGCCACTGGGCAGACCCAGGCCAAGGGAGGGAAGGGGCTGGCTGCGGACCCAGCTGCATCCCTGGCATCCTGCTGCAGCCTTTCCAGCCCCTGCACCCACTGCAGCCCTTGCATCCCCCTGCACCTCTTGCATCCTGTGCACCCTTCCCAGCCCACTGTAACCGCTGCATCCTTTGCAACCCACTGCACCCTTTGCATCCCGCTGTATCCCTTGCATCCTTTGCACCCTTTCATCCCTTGCAGCCCTTGGCCCCTGTGCATAACTCCCAGCTTTTCTTTCTCCCCTTGTCTCCCTCCCAGGTCTGAGCACCGTGCCATGACCCAAAGCACTGTGCCGTGACCCAAAGTACCATGCTGTGACCCAAAGCACTGTGCCGTGACCCAAAGCACTGTGCCGTGACCCAAAGTACCATGCTGTGACCCAAAGCACCGTGCCATGACCCAAAGCACCGTGCCGTGACCCAAAGCAGCCGCAGCAGCCAGCTGGGAGCCCTCCATCAGTGTTGTGGAGGTCATGGCTCCCACCCCTTGCCCAGAGCCAGCCCAAGCTCAGCCACACAGGCAGGCCCACGGTGTCCATGGTGTGCTATAGACCCATCACTCTGTGTCAAACAGCCTTTCTGACAACCCCTCTGCTCTGCAGGGAGTGGAGACACGAGGAGCTCCTGGGCTGCTGAGCCACAACTAACACAAATTCACCCTGGCTGAGCATCCACATGTCCTCTAGGTGAAGGTTGTGCGGTCAGGACACACATGAGCAGCATCTCCTCCGAAGCCCCATGGATGCTCAGCCCAGACAACCGAAGCCTGGCCATGTTTTCCAACACATTTCCTACTCCTGACATGTCAAACCCAACTTTTCCAGCCTGGCAGCTGGACAGGAAGGGAGCACGGAGGTTTCATCCAGCACCACCAAGAGCCAGCGACCACCTCAATCCAGATCTTATTTTAGCTGCAGCTCAGGGGTGAAATTCCTGTTCAGATATTCAGCTCCAGAGGCCAGAGTGGGGGAAACACATTTACTCTGCCGTGTTTAAATTGGAATAAATCCGGTGAGCCCGAGGCCGTGAGGTTCCCTCACCCAGGGGACAAGCGTGCACAAGACTGAGGTCAGACACAAGGTTAAAGTGGCCCTAAAAAGGAGGGGAGGAGGCTGGGGAGAGGCAGCAAAGCCACCACAGTGGGTGAGCACATGCCCAGCATGGTATGGGCTTGGGGAGCTGGTGCTGGAGCCCCTTCCCCAGGGGTGCAGGGTGCTGGTGGGTCCAAGCTCTTAGAGGGTCCAAGAAGGAGTTGGAGGAGACTCAGGGAAACCACCCAAACCAAGCCAGGTGAGGAGGGAAGGATCAAGCCCTGAGGAGAGGAGCCCCCCCCCCCCGGACCCAGCCCTGAGGGAGGTTTGCTGGTCCGGGGGCACCTTGGCCCCCTCCCTGGCTCAGGTACCAGCCGAGCACGCCGTGGCCTGAGCAGAGCTGCTGTGGAAGCACCAGCTCTGACGTGGCCATCCCCATCCACAGCCATCCCTTGGAGAGCAGAGCCAGCGGTGGGATCCTCACCAGGTCCCAGCCCGAGCCCCAGATCATGCTGCCTTGTTGCCCGCCCCACCGTAAAAGCAGGGAAGCTGCGTTGGGTGCAAAAGCTGCAGCACATCGGGCTGTGTCGGCGAGGGCTGCCTGCCCGCTGCAGCCACGCTCGCGAAGGCCGGGCGTCCATGGGGGGAGCTCCCAGCCCCAGAGCGGTGACTCAGAGCCGTGGTGACGTGGCGACTCTCCCGGGGGACACCGGAGCTCGGGCAGCCGTCTCTTGTGGACGGGTTTGCGCTCTTGTTTTCTCTGGAGGATTATTCCTAATTGCAGTTTGCTCCACTGGCAAAAAAGAGCCATCCTGCTCCATGCGCATGGGTACCCCACTCCCTCTGCCATCTCTGCTCAACTCAGGGCCCAGAAAGGCCATAAAAATGCTGGTTTCCAGCTTTCCTGAGCATGCAAACATGCGCTTTGGGGAAAGGTAATATCCAGGCATCCCTGACCTAAACGGACAGCAGAATTCTTTGGAAATCTCTCCATCCTGGAGATACTTTTCCTGTGAGTGAGTGTAAGAAGCCTGAACCCCACAGGCAGCCCTTTACTTGTGGGAGGGGTGAGTGGCCTCGGTGGGAAACAGAGTCCCTTTGCCCCCCTGGATGTCGCTGCTTATCCCAGGCTGGGGCATAGTCTCCATCCCACAAAATATGCTTGTGGCCCTGCTCCTCACCACACACCTCTTCACCAGCAGTGAGAAAAGCCCTGCAGCTGGTTTGGGGGCTCGAGAAGAAGCAATGGGCCAGGACCAGCCCCTGGCTTCCTCTGTGCCAAGGCAAGGCACCCTGGTCTCCTGGTGCAGAGCCCTATGGCCATGGGCACCCAAATGTGGCCTCATCCTGCTCGGCTGGGCACATCGCTCTGTGCACATGGGCCAGTGGCAGCGGAATGGGATGATGTTGTGGGACCATCTGCAGGTGCCACTGGGATTTCCCCAGCCCCTCTCGCCCAGATGAGCTCCGTAGCTCCATGGTGGGGGTGGCAGGGTGAGGAAGGACAGAAGGAGCTTTCTCGCTCCTTTTGTCCCTCCACAGCTCAATCCAGGCCAGTCATCCTAAGCCAATTGTGAGGCTGTTTCTGCTCTCAAGCCCCTGGGTCCAGCCTCTGTGGTCTCCTCCTGGCTGCTAGCAGGTCCTGGGGAGCGTGGGAAGGGCCCATGCTTTCTCCTCCCATGTTGTGCCACCTGAGCTGCCTGTGGTACCCCTGCTGACACCATCACCTGGTCAGGGACCCCCCTGCTCCAACTTGAGCCTCCACCCCAGGAGCCTCCTGTACACCCTGACACATGACAGCGTGCTCCCTGCCTGCACCGCCCAGGGCATACGGAGCATGGGACACCCCCGGGTGACCCGTGCTCTCTAGGCCCGGTCCCCATGCATGCCACCCACCCACCCCTCCCACGGTCCCAGACCCAGCCTGGGGCTGTCGATTGTCCCCAGTGGGAGACCCAGCTGCAGTTCAGCTCACTGAGCTGCTTCCCTCCACTTGAAACCTCGATGTGCCTGTGGCACTCGTGCAGGTCCCAGCTAGAGCCCTGTCCCCCACCTCCACCTCCACCCACCGCCACAAGCTTGCCCTGAATCACCGCTGGCGTCCCACTGCGTCCCAGCCGAGCACAAAGCCAGCACAAGTCCTAGACACACTGGTGCCAGTGATCCTCGTGGCACGCATGCCAGCTCGGATGCCGACACTAGGCCCCCCAAAAGCCCAGTCTTTGCAGTCCCAGCCCACCAGCCTGCAGCAGGCAGTGCCTGGAGCCTGCCGGGCTAATGAGGAGTGCATGGGACCCACATCTGGTAGCGATTGAGCGGGGAGCAGCGCCGGGAAGGGAGGAAGTGCAGATTTCCTGCAGCACAAAGGAAGGGAGAGGAATGGCCGCGGTGGAGCAGAGGCCCCGGGGTCCCCCCTCCCTCTGCTGGCTCAGCCACAACGCCTGCGCCAGGGCTGCAAAGGCAGGGATTGCACCTCGCTCCTTCGCCAGCTCTGCTGGAGCTTGTCCCCAAGAGCATGCTCCCCTTTTCCCTGGGCTGAGCTCCCCTCTCTCCCCAGCTGCCCTCCTTTCTGCTTGCAGGGGTGCACAGGCTCCCTCCTGCTGCTGGGCACAGCTCTTACGGCCATGCTGGCCCTCCAAGCTGCATGTGTGGCCTCTCCCTCCAGGCTGGGGCTGCTCAGGATCAAGGTCAGGACCTTGCTGCTCAGGGTCTGGGGTGAAAACAACCCTCCCTACATCCAGACATCACCAGGCTTCAGCTCCCCCTGGAAGTGGCCTTGGGAAGAGAGCAGAAGCCTCAGCGAGGTGGGGAAGGTGGCAAGATCAAGACACAGTGTGCTCCATGCCATGACGATGGGGATGTGACACTTGGATGGGGACAGGGCAGGCTGCACTTAGGTCCCCACCGGTGCAGGCAGCCGTGTCGGGGCCAGGCAGCATGTCTGGTCCTGTGCTGGTACCAGGTAAAGTCTTGGCCCTTCCATCCCTGAGCATCCACAGCTGCCAAAGTGATTTCGGGTTGTGTTGCCGGTGGAATGCTCTGGGACAGCAGAACCCTGGGTTCAGGTGACACCAGGGAAGGACATTCTGCAAGGGCTGCCATCAAATCTCTACGGCAGAGGACGGCACAGTGTTGGGATGCTTTTATCTTAGTCTTTCATATTGCCCCAGCCGGAGGTGAGCAGCAATAGCTTTTACCTAAAAGCCCCTGATTTCCTTTTCCCAACAGCTCAGCAGGCTGCAGGGAAAGGGAAACGCGCCACGGCTCAGCCTCCAGCAGCTTCAGCTTGGCAAAAAGCTGGTGGGCGGGTCCCGAGGATGGGGTTGGGGGTTTCAAAATACAGGGCAGCCATTTCACGGGGACACTGCTGCTGCACCGCGGGGAGAGGAGGCGGGGGTCGGGCAGGACAGAGGGACACGGCAGGGCTCACGGTAGAAGGCAGTGGTGTAAGCAGCCCAGGGGCAGAGGGGGCTGCAATCAGCCCACCCAGAGCCTCTCCAGCGCTCGGGATTTGGGCTCCTTGGACGGAAATCTGAGGCAACCGGGGGAAAAAAAGCAATTTATATTCAGGGAGATTTTAGGGATGCTCCATTTCCCAGGGGGTGCTCCGTGTTCTTCCCCAACACGGGCATTCCTCCTGCCCTCCAGCAGGCGGCGCAGCTTTGAGTCACGTTTAAGGCGGTACCTTTTAGGCACTTTTGATGCATTTCAGCTGATCTTTCATTTCGCTAATTGAAGCCAGGACCTTTCTCGTGCGCGCCGCTGGAACGAACCGGCGGCTCAGCCCGCGCCCAAGGCTGATCCCGTCCCCCACGGGAACACGGGCCCTGCCCGCCCCGGGGCGCGGCTGAAGCCGAAACGCACTGAATAAACTCCGGGTGTTCCCGGGGGTTAGAAGGGGGCTCTGCCCCGGGTTGCGCGGCAGGGCCGGGGGCAGGCGGGAGGGCCGGCTACTGCCCCCGCTGCCGCTGCTGGCCCCGCTGCTGCTGCTGCCGCCCGCCCGGGGCCGCAGGGCGCTCCCAGCCGAGGACCCCGCAGGGGCGCCGGGCGGGA